GCCCCGCCGTCCGGTCGCGCCTAGCCAGTCACCATCTTAACGTGCGAGCCGAGCTGAAGCCCGATGAATCGCGAGTGCTCATGGAGGGAGTGGAAATGGCGTGAGCGCTGCCGCTCTCGCCTTCCTGCCCCTTCCATGTTCCTTCTGTATTACAGCATTTTGCGGTTTCGTACGAAATCTGGGCTGGTCCGTGGAATAGCCACGCAGACCCCGAGCTTTCAAATACAAGCCCATTCGGTCCAGTTCTGTTCGTCCCACTTTTAAGTGGCTCGTTGAACTCACATGCACTTGTCGTAATTATACTTGAATTTTTTTTTTAAAAAAAAAAGCTTCCTTGTAAAGTTTTCTGGTTGCAGACAAATGGTCAGTGAAACATGTGGAATAATGCCAGAAGGGAGAGGGACTGGAGGTGGGCAAAGTTGCCATTTTCCAGGCAGTCTCTGACTCTCGGCATATTGATCAACGCTTTTTTGCTTTGCTGTGTTTGGTTTGACATCTGGAGAGGAGCTGTCTTTCTTTTTCTAAGAGTAAGCAGTCCATCTATAATTTGTCTTGGGTTGATAGTGAGGTCCTTGAGTTTTCCCTCTTGGAGCAGTTTTTACTTATTTCAGTTACATCTACTTAATTTAAAAACGGCTCACTGCTTTAAATTTGCTTAGGGCAACAATATTTTGCTTAGGGCAAGAATTTTTTAGCATTTCCACTCTAAAATGATTAGACAGGAGGGGACATAGCATTCTGAGTTCTGCACAATAAAATGCCAGGTGAAAGCTGGAGATGGGAATCTAATGGCTTCCTTATTGCTAGTCCCTGTAGTTAGGCTACTATGACATTGTGTACACACAGTTCTTAGCATGTTAACAAAAGTCTAAGTGCTTCACAGTGGTTCTCTTCCAGTTTTTGTTTTGCCTTTATTTATTTATTTTTTTAAAGAAACGAAGCTTTTTAGTGATATCAGTGCTCAGTTGGGGGCGTCTTTAAACCTGCATTTTCAGAAGAAATTGGTCTGTGTCTCTGAGCTGGGCCTACTTAGGAGAGCTCAAAAGTAAAAGGGGAAACATTTACAAAGTAATAAATTCAACAAGCATGAAGTGTATTCTATTTAAAAAGATAAAAGATTAGAAGGTCCTTGAGGGAAGGACCACATGAGGATAAAACATAATAGCCCCAAAGTGATCAAGATAGGTTAAGGATCTTGTCTGATATGCTCACTATTGTGTAGTCACATTCTTAGTTTGATTATAATGTGGAGGCATTGCCTAAACACTTTTAACTTTGTTACATTTAACCCACTTAATGTTGGTTTATAGGTGAGAAGACAGTTGCAGAGCATAAGTACTGACTAATTAAGAAGTGGTAGAGTCAGATCACTGGTCCCAGCTCATAGCAATTGGGTGCACACTATCTGCTGAATGAGTGAGATTTTGTGAGGCTGAGCTTGGAGGTTTTCCTGAAAGTAGTGACTTTGAAGTCTTGTCATAACCTGAACTTGGAATCCAGGTTTTGTAAAACACAAGCTCTCAGGGGAAAATATGGGAAATGGGAGGAAGTTGAAATGGTCTGTATTGTGTGAATGGTAAAGCAAAGTCTGAGAACTTCAGAAATTGCCTTAGCAAATAAGGTCTTTTTGTGCTGGGGAATTACTTTTATTGTAATAAATGCAGTAATTTAGCATTTATTAGTTGAGTCAAGAGATTGGTGTCATTAGATAAAATAAAGTAAGGAGCAAGATTTGGAGAATTTATTACATAAATCCATTACATAAAACTGTGTAAATATGATCATTTCTGAGTTGAGAAAGCAAGTGAATCACTTTGTTAGAATATGCTCCCAGGGAAGGCTCTGAATTCTCTGAAATGCACAGCCACTTTTAATATTTGGTTTAGTACTTCAAGATCATCTTCATTTCTGTAGTTGTGTACAGTTGGGGGATCCTTCTATAATACGATAATTATAGAATGAACCCTATTAGTTAGCTTTTCTGGACATCTTGGTGCTTTGCTATGAATTTTTCCCATTCTGTTGAAATTACATTGCTAGCTTTCCAAGACTAGAATACAAGCCAGCCTGAACTCCCCTCTCTTTAGCTAATAAATGAGATTCCGTTTTCCCCTACTGGGTTAAGAACACCTAGATCCTGGATGGGAGATTTAAATGTATGCTGTATTTTATGATGAGATGTTTACAGAATGTAAATTAAAATAGTAACTGCTGTTTGACCCCAAAAAGCTGTGCAATGCAATGATATGGACAGCATAGGACAAATAGTTGAAAAACAGCACCTTAAATGTAAAGTCTGAAGAATATCTAGGCAAGAAAAGAACTTTTAGTTTCAAATAAGTAACATTGAGCTTTTAGATGTATTCAAGGTTGAGAATGATCTGGCAGCAAAATAGGATCTTTATTTCATGAAGTGGTCTCCACTTGAATCAGGTATCTTCAAAGACTTAAATCTCTGAGGAAGTATAAGTCCCTATACTGAAGGAGTTCTCAAGTAGCCCTTACTTTTGAACAGGTTGTTCTAACAAGTCTATATTCTTTTGGGGCGGCTTTATGTATTTGTTCATTTTATGTTTTTCTACTCTGTGAACTAAGTAATAAACATTACATTTTTATAGGAAGAAATTGGGCAGCAGAAATAATTTATCAAGGTCACAGAAGCTGGCAGATCATTTTGACCCCAAGTTCTTCTAAATCTATATTCATTTAATCATCTTCTCTTCAGCTAGTTACTTCTGTGTGGAATCACCCTAAGTTTTAGCAGTTGGGGTTCTGGACAAGCCCACAAATACATGTCCCATAGTGTAGTTGGGATACTGTGCTTTTGTGAATATTCACAAAATGTTAAGAGAAAAAAAGGATTCCTTAGAACATACTATATTTGCATGTTTGATAGTTTTAACAGGGATGCAGTGATCAAGTGTCTGCTCCTAAGAAACATATTCTATAGCACAGCGGTTCTCAACCTGTGGGTTGCGACCCCTTTGGGGGTCAAACAACCCTTTCACAGGGGTCGCCTAAGACCATCAGAAAACACATATATAATTACATATTGTTTTTGTGATTAATCACTATGCTTTAATTATGTTCAATTTGTAACAATGAAAATACATCCTGCATATCAGATATTTACATTACAGTTATG